GCGCCCACTATGCGGCCCAAACGCCGTTCGGCAGACCTCCCCCTCCCTCCTCCTCCTCCTCCTCCTCCTCCTCCTCCTCCTCCCTGGAGCTGCTGCTGCTGCTGCTGGGACGGGTGCTGTTGGGGATGGTGCTGGAGGTGCGGGTGGTGGTGCGGGTGGTGGTGCGGATGTGGCGGATGGCGGGGCGAGGCGACGTGGGGCGTCGTCGCCGGACCCGGACCCGGTGCGCGGGGCATACCGACGGGCGAGCCGTGCGCCTGAGCTTGGGCTTGGGCTTGGGCTTGGGCTTGGGCTTGAGACGCCTGGTGCCGCGCGAGCATCACGTCCCGGAGCCGCTGTTGTTGCTGCTGGTGTTGTTGTTGTTGTTGCTGCTGCTGCTGCTGCGTCATCCCCGCCGCGGGCACGGACATGCCGAGGCCGTTCATACCGTTCATACCGTTCATGCCGTTCATGCCGTTCAGGCCGTTCAGGCCGTTCATGCCCATGGCCATCCCGACGCCCATACCGAGGGCGGGCATGCCGCCGGGCGTGGAGACGACGCGGCGCGCGCCGACGAGGCCGTTGGGCATACCGACGCCGACGCCGACGCCGATGCCGAATGGCGGGGCGCCCGAGGGGGGTGGGACGGGTTGGCCCATGAGCTGGCGTTGCGCCGCTTGGGCTTGGGCTTGGGCTTGGGCTTGGGCTTGGGCTTGGTGGAGCTGCTGCTGAGACACGGGCTGGGGCTGGCCTTGGGGAATGTGGTGATGCTGTTGCGGTGGCTGCTGCTGCTGCGCTAGTTGTGGTGGTTGCGGCTGCTGCTGCTGCTGCTGCTGCTGGGATTGGGGTGGAGGTGGTTGTTGTTGTTGTTGCGGGTGGGGTTGAGGTTGGGTGGGGGGCTGTTGATGCTGCTGCCCCGGTTGCCCTTGTTGTTGTTGTTGTTGTTGCTGCTGCTGAAATGGATGCTGGCGCGCGAGCTGCATCGGGTAGTTGCTCGCGGGGAGGCCCGCGCCCGCTGCGGGGTTCGCGCCGACGCCGGCGAGGTTGAGGGGCGGCTGGCCGACGAGCATGCCGCCTGGACCGCCCGCGTGGTGCGGGTGCTGGCCGGGGCCGGGCTGCTGCTGCTGCTGCTGGGGGTGCGGGTGCTGGAGGTGGCTGGGCGGGAAGGCGTTGGGGATGGGCGCGCCGAGGTTCATCATCGCGGCGGGCTGGCGCGGGCCGAGCATCGCGGGGGGCTGGGGGCGGGGAGGGAGGGAGGATCGTGTATCGGACGCGGGATCTGCGACCGGGGCGCGCGCATGCGACGGCTGGGGGGTCTCGGCCGCGCGCGGGGGGGCGGGGGTCCTGGAGAGAGAGAGAGAGAGGGATACGGTGAGCGTCGGGCGAAACGTTGGTGCGTGGGGCGGGCCACGGAGGGTGGCAGCGGTTGGGAGGAGGGTGCCCACACTTACGCTGCGGGGGTGGGCTGGGCTGGCTTTGGGCGGAGGTGTGTGCGCCTTTGGTCTCTCCCCTTTCGAGTTTGCCGAGGGTCGCGCGGTGGCGGTTGAGGTTGGGCCGCGCCGGGTGGGTTCGGTCGGTGATGGCGGTGGCCGACGGTGCGGCAGTCGACGTTTCGTTCGGGCGGGAGGAGCGGCGGCGGGGAGCGGGAGGCGACGAGGGTCGATCGCGAGGGGAAGGGGGGCGCGGGGGCGTTGGCGAGGCGGGCACGAGTCGGGGAACAGTCACACTCGCCCAGGCCGTGGGAGCCCCGGCGCGGCGCAGGCGCCCAACGGAAGCTCCATCCCCTCGTCCGCGGAGCCTTCGTCCACGTGGCTTTGGGCGACCGCTATCATTACCAGTGTTTTTTTTTCGAGATCTACGCTAACGGTGTACAGTATACGGGGGAACAGCTATGGTCATACAACGAGCTCGTCCGCGAACGACACATGTACTACTTTTTGGCAGGCCAGATCGACAAAGCGAAAACCGGGAAAGAGCTGCGAAACGCGCCCTTATCCGCGCAAATGCCCCCCCCGGCCGAGCGTCAAATCGCCGAAGAGCGCCCCACACCGGAGAGAGAGAGAGAGCAGTCCCAACCAAGTAAACTTTTTTTTTTCACCTTTCCCCGTCCCATCCTCACCACCGTCGACAAAAAAGGGAAGAACAGCTGCTTGTGCGCGTCTCGATGATGCGCGCGCGATGGAGGATGGAGAGAGAAGGGGGCTGATGCATGATGAATATCGCAGTGCCACCCATCGCCGCGCCCGGGGCTTGCCTTGATGTATCTCTCGTCGCCTTCGCTTTTTTGCTGCTCTGGATGGGGTCTCCCGAACCCCCGACGTACGGCATGTCCCGAACGGAGCACACGATATCCTTTTTTTTTGGGAACCCGCGTTCCCGGCGTCAGGGGCGTACTTCGAACAGCGCCCATAAACGCCCCTCCCACTTTTCCCCACCTTTCCCCCCCGGTCAAAAAAAAAAACGCTTGCTGAGACTGAGTCATGCAGAGTGTCATTCACGGCTCAGAGAAGATCGAAGTCGTCCAGCTGCGCGCAAAGAAACGTTAGTCAGCCGTGACGAATGACAGGGAAAGCCGGGAACGATGGACGGATGGATGGATGGATAGGGTGGGGAGAGCTCACCTCGTCATTGTAGCGCATGATGGTGCGCTTGAGCTTGGAGGTGTCGACCCAGGTCACAAAGTCTTCCATGTTCCTGTTGCGTTTTTGGGCGGACGCGTTACAGCGGGCCGTGGACGAGAAAAAATGGATGAGAGAGGACGTTTACCTCGTCACCAGGAAGGCGGGGTCGGTCACCGTCTCCGGGCCGACGCGCACGTGGCCCTGCTCGATAAACTTGACGGCCTAAAACGCACCACGAACGATCGCGGACACTGTGTCAGCAGCGCCGTCCATGACCCGATCAACACCGAAAGAAAACGGAAGAGGGGGGGGGAAAGGGGTAAAAAAAAAGAGGAGGGAAAAACGAGAGGAGGGAAAAAAGAGAGAAGGAGAAAGAGAGAGGAAGAGAGGGGTAAAAAAACGATAATAATAATAACGATTAAAAGGATCGACGCACCGCGCTGACCGTCTCCGCCATCTTGCTCGCGCACATCACGACCGCCAACCGCCTCCTGCAGAACGCGGCGACGGTGACTTTATGCTCCACGTCGGACAGCTTCGCCTGCCCGTTCAGCACGCCCGTATCGTACAGCTTCGCGAGCAGCTGCGACTCCATCCTGGTCCGGAACGGGTCCTGCGCCGGGAGGAGCGACAGCCGGTGCGCGTACGCGCGCAGGGCGCCGCATAGCTTGTTGTATCTATCGTCGGGGTGGATCAGAAAAGCGGAGGCGGGGCGGAGAGAGAGAGAGAAGGAGGGGGAAGGGGGGCTGGGTGAAAGGGAAGGATCCGAGAGCTTCCACAAAAAAACCGAAAAACGAGACAAGGAGCCGCACTTGTGATAGTCCTCCCGGTCCTGGATGTGGTACCGCCGCATCACCTTGACCTCGCGCAGGTTCGCATCTTGCTTCCACTTGTGAACCGAACATTAGCGATCTCGATTTTTTTCCTATCGGGTTGATTATGAAAAGAAAAGAAAAAAAACGCACGGTGAGGAAGTCGACCTTCTTGAGCAGTTTTTGCTCGTGGTGCTTGAACTGGCGGACCATCTCCCCTTCGATACGCTCTACGTATACGTCCGGATACCGATGTTGAAAAGGAGTCGGAGGCCGGATGTAATGCCCGGGTCAGAGCGCTGTGTTAGATATAATAGATGGTGTCTGTGTACTTTTCGTCGGCCTCGAGAGGGGATGGTGGCGGGAAAGGAAACTGCGCCAGGAACAGCGTCAGACGCCCGTTGGGAATGTTCGTTCGGTACGCGTGATTTACAGCCGTTTCCGAAAAGGTTGAGCGCAGCGCGAAAAACCAGACGCGCGTTGTGAAGGACCCTAAAGTTGGGTTTGCCGCCAGCACATCGTGTTCAACGACGAACTCAACGATTATGCACCCCTGGACCGCATAGAAATGATGAATACATGTGGGAGGAGCTCAGAGGAACATGTGTCAGTGTGCTAAGCATGAAATTCAGAAGGATTTACTGTAGGGTCGAAGGAGTTGCAGGCAAAGGTAGTGTTAGGGAATATAGACCGCCAATATCGATACTCCTTCGTCCAAACCGGGACACAGTGCAGCCCCTCAACCGTGAGGTACTTGCTTCGGGAGTCTACCGATGATTTCGACAACGAGAAGTTGCCGGAAAACTTGGGAGCTCGTCGTTGAGAGCGTTGGTAAAGACCCCTATATCAGGGTTACTGCTACTGCTAGAGGTATCGTGCGGCGTCGCGCACTGAGGGGCAACATCGTCAGCATACTGCGTTAAGTCGTGGCATAATCTACCGTGAACGAGAGAATAGGCGAGTGGAAGTTGTGAGAACGGGCGAAAAAGGGTCCACCGGGAGGACCGATTCAACGCGACTCAGAGGCCCTCCAGAGGCATTGCACATCGAATTTCGCATCTCAAAAGTGGTAGCCTTCAGCTCTCCTATGCCCGGGCGCTCAGTGGACAACAACAATAATGCACTTCCATCGAGATAAATCGACGAACGTCCAGGGCTCGCCGGCCTGGCTGTAACCCCATTTTAGGGTGAGTCCACGACGGGCCGTGTTTTTCGCGCTGCGCTCAACCTTTTCGGAAACGGCTGTAGCAACGCGTTCTTCTCCTCTTCACCTGCTCCCTCCCTCCCTCCTTCCCCTCCTCCTCCTGGTTTTTCTCCTCTGCATCGAACTCCGCACGGAATATCAACATCGACAAGCGCACGACGACGAACACGCACGACAGGACAAATCAAAGCATTAGCGAACTTTCTGGGACCGGGAACTCGATAAAAGTAGACAGCACCATCTCCCGTTAGAAGCAACCACAGGCACATCCACAAGAGAGGGCGCGATGGCGGAGGAGGGCGGCAACATCAAAGTCGTCGTCCGATGTCGACCTCTCAACTCGCGCGGTGAGCACCCCCCCCCTCGCCCTCGCCCTCGCTCCCAAAGATCCACACACACACACCAACTCATCACCCTTATGCGATTTTATGACGACCAGAGCTCGCGCGCGGCGCGAAACCGCTCATCCGGATGCAAGGCAACCAAACGCTGCTCGACCCGCCCGAAGCGGGCTCGGCACAGGCGAGCGCGGCGTCCGGGCGCGCGACGGAGCGGAAGACGATCCCGTTCACGTTCGACAAGTCGTACTGGTCCGCCGGCCCGCGGGACGAGCCCGGGTACTGCTCGCAGCAGACGCTGTTCGACGACCTCGGCGTCGAGCTGCTCGATCACGCGTTTGGCGGGTTCAACGCGTGCATTTTGGCTTGTGAGTTTTCTTTTTTTTTTGGTTTTTTTGGTTGTCGTCTTGGTTTTTCGGGTTTTGCCCCCCTTTCCCTTTTTCTTTTTTTGGTATTTCGCGGGTCTGAGGACGTTCGTGGGCTGATGGGCCGCTTTTTTTCTCTTTGTTTTTCTTTGGGCAGACGGACAGACGGGTGAGTTTTACTTTCTTTTGGAACGGGTGATCTCGATGGAAAGCCCTTTGCGGAAGTGTTGACGTGCCTCTTCTGATTTATTTGACGAAAAGGATCGGGCAAGTCGTATAGGTGAGCCACGCATCACTCTTCTCCCGACTCCTGAACGAGGTCCTGATTTCTGTCGTAGTATGATGGGTTGTAAGCGCGTTCCGTACGGTGTAAACGGCCATCGCCTCTTCACACGCGACATTCCACAGATGGCCCGGACAAGGGCATCATCCCGCTCACCTGTCAAGAGCTCTTCGACCGCGTCGACCGCAAGAAAGCCGCGGACCCGAACGTGACCTTCACCGTCGAAGTCTCCTACATCGAGGTAACCTTTCTCTGCACATCACCAACCCCCGCCCAAGCGCCCCGCGCCCCGCCTTTCCGTCATCCGCTGACCCTCGCATCCTCGCCAGATCTACAACGAGAAAGTGCGCGATCTGCTCAACCCGAAGAACACGGGCAACATGAAAGTGCGCGAGCACCCCTCGCTCGGGCCGTACGTCGAGGACCTGTCCAAGCTCGTCGTGAACAGCTACGACGAGATGATGACGCTCATGGACGAGGGCAACAAGGCGCGCACGGTCGCCGCCACCAACATGAACGAAACGTCCGTCCCTCACCGCATATACGCACCCGACCCTCGGCGACAGTGAGCTGACGGGCGGACAACAGATCGTCTCGTTCACACGCGGTGTTCACGCTGCTGCTGACGATGAAGCGGCACGACACCGACACCAACCTGGACACCGAGAAGGTCTCGCGTATCAAGTGCGTCTTTCGTTTTTCCACATCGAGCTCGTCTAGGCTGACGGCACCCTCGCGGAGCTAGTCTCATCGATCTGGCCGGTTCGGAGCGTGCCAACTCGACGGGCGCGACGGGCGTGCGCCTGAAGGAGGGCGCGAACATCAACAAGTCGCTCACCACGCTCGGCAAGGTCATCGCCGCGCTCGCGAGCCAGAGCGAGAGCAAGGGCAAGAAGAAGAAAGGCGACGACTTTATCCCCTACCGAGACTCCGTGCGTGGCCTCCCGTCGCAACGACTTGCTCTCGAGGAGAAGCCCCCAAGCTAACGATCGGTGGCGCCGTAGGTCTTGACATGGCTGCTGAAAGACAGTCTGGGCGGCAACTCGAAGACGGCGATGATCGCCGCGATCTCCCCCGCTGATTACGACGAGACGCTGAGCACGCTCCGGTACGCGGACCAAGCGAAGAAGATCAAGAACAAGGCGGTCGTGAACGAGGACCCGAACGCGAAGCTCGTGCGCGAGCTCAAGGAGGAGCTCGAGATGCTCAGAGGTACGCAACGCCTTCGCACGTAGAAGACCCGACCCGGCCTGATGTCCGTATAGCGCGCGTCAGCGGCTCCGTCAGCGAGGAGGTGTACGACCCCAAGATCCCGCCGGAGAAGCAGAAGGTCACCTACCAGGCCAAGGACGGCACGCTCAAGACCGTCACCAAGGCCGAGCTGCAGGAGCAGATGGAGGCGAGCGAGAAGCTCATGCAGAGCTTGAACGAGACCTGGGAGGAGAAGATGCAGCGCACGCAGGAGGTGCAGAAGGAGCGCGAGAAGGCGCTCGAGGAGCTCGGTATCAGCGTGGAGCGAGACAACGTCGGGGTGCATACGCCGAAGAAGGTGGGTGCGAGGGAGTCCGAGGAACGTTTGGGAGCGATCCAGGCTGATTCCGGGGCTTCTCTTAATAGATGCCGCATTTGGTGAACCTTAACGAAGGTGAGATCCGCAAGCGCATGCCGACGTTGCCCCACACGCTGAACGAATTGCGTCTGTGTAGATCCCTTGATGAGCGAATGTCTCATCTATCAGCTCAAACCTGGACGAACGACGGTGAGCTCCGACCTTCCCTGACGTGATGATCTTCGGATTCGCTATGCGTCTCCTGTTGCATCTTTTAGCATCCGCGCCGATATGCTGATGTTGATCTTCGGCAACGTGCGATCAGGTCGGCAGGATGGACAGCGAGAAACCGGCTGCTATCCGGCTTAGTGGGGAGAGCATCCTGGAGGAGCACTGCTACTTCGAGAACAACGACGGCAAGGTGACGCTGCACGCGTTGGACGAAGGCGTTACGGTGAGCCCTGGTCCAGTCCAGATCTGATGCGGTTCAGGACCTGATCGCTCGCCGCAGTTCTTGAACGGGAAGCAGATTGTCCCGAATCAGGTATGGGCCTCGGTACTGTCTGGCATCTGCCCCTAGCTAAGTTTGATCTCCGTGTAGCCGTACAAGCTGCGATCCGGTTTCCGAATCATCCTAGGTACGTGGTCTATCGTAGTGGCCGCCCTACACGACGCTGATCGCAACCCCTGCAGGCGAGCATCATGTCTTCCGGTTCACGAACCCGGAAGAGATCCGCCGGAAGCGCGACCGTGCCGAGCAGCGGTCTAAGCTCCAGCTGAGCATCTCCGCTGCTGATCTCGAGGCTAGTGTAGACTCGCCTGCCATGCCGCCAGACTCACCGGCGTCGTCGGCGGGCCCGGACGACATCGACTGGTCTTTTGCGCGGCGGGAGGCGGCGCTTGCCAAACTCGGAATGGACCCCACGCTCGACAACCTCCCGGATGAGGATCTCAACAAGCTATTCGACAAGATCACGAAGGTGAAGACAATGCGAGACCATACCAAATCGCGGCCCGAGAGCAGCCTGAGCGTGACGGACAACGACTTTTGGAGCGAGAGCGGGCGACCGGTGCCGAGCGAACTCACGGACGACACCAGCGTGGACGCCATCCCGAGCCACGGTAGTCCCGAGCTGGACGCCGCACAGAATCAGCTCGAGAACCGGCTAACGGCGATCGCGGAGACGGTGGAGGCGGACGACCTCAAGGCTGGCGAGGCGGAGGATCTGAAAGCGGAGAAGGAGCACATGGAGCGGCAGATGAAGATGGTTCGGGCGCAGATGAAGCGGTTACTGGATGCTCGGGCGAGAGGCGAGAATGTAGACGAGCTGGAGACCTTCGAGCCAACGCTGTACACCGCGAAGCAACTTCGCATCATCCGTAAGGTCCTCGACAAATGGAGAGCACACCGCTCGTTCTCCATGGCAGAAACCGTCCTATCGAATGCCGTGCTAGTGAAAGAGGCCAACGTTATCAGGTATGCCACCACGACGATCATTCTTCTCGATATCACTCTCATCTCCTTCCAGCAAAGAACTCGGAAAAGCCGTGTCATATAACTTTACCGTCGCTTCTGGCGGGTCGCTCTCCGCCCCGGTCTCTTCCATCGATTCTATCGCCGGTTTAGATGAGTTTGGAGACGTTGCCGACCCGCAATTGGCATCGAAGACGCAACCGGCTGTTGCCATCAAAGTGCTGGACAAAAGGCATAACGCTATCTACGTCTGGTCCTTGGATCGCCTCCAGCAGCAGCTCCAGCGCATGCGCAACCTGACTACCTTTATCGACCGCCCGTCGTATTCCCGCCATTTCTCGACCGAAGAGCCTTTCTATGATGTTCAGATCCCCGAGCATTCCTTCATTGGCAACGCCCTGATTTCCCTTGCTCCGCTTACTCGGAAGTTGGCGTTTTCTGCCGTGGTGCCGATCTTTTGCAGGTACACGGCCGAAGCAATCGGATCGTGTCGTGTAGAAGTCAGGAACGTCAATATCACGCTTGCCAGCAGACGCGGTTCGGCCCAGAATACTCGGTCTGCCACGCCCACTACGCCGACCATCTCACCCGGCAGCAAGCTCACCTTCGCGCTCTCGGTGGACACAGTGAAGGGGTTATCTCCGCATGACTTCTCCTCTGTGCATCTGCAAGTCCGGCTCTCAGCTTTCGTGGGGCCTTCTTTGCCCGCCGAGGAGGTATTCACATCTTCCGCCGTCGACATCAATGCTTCCTCCTTGACAGAACTAAAGTTCCGGCGAAGCTTCTCCATCGCCGTGACTTCCAAGGTGCTCGCGTATATGCGCCAAGGTTACGCTCCTATCGAGTTCTTTGCTGCACTGAAGCCTACTTATATCGAACGAATGGAGCGTTGGGATGAAATGCGGGATCAGAAGAGCTACGTACCTACGACGAACGGCACCGCTTCGCCTCCCCCTGCGGCGGATCCTCGGCCCGGCCCAGTTTTACCTCCCATGCGTCGCTCAGAGACCGACTTCGTCGTAGAACAGCTACACGACGTCATCGTCTGGCTGCAGATATGTGAACTCTCCCCGGATGGCAGTTACATACCCGTTCCGGTTGTCGCTCAGGGCGACCTTGATCCTGGGGCTTGCTGTCTCCATCAGGGTCTCCAGCGGAGGATTATTCTGACGTTGTCCTCGAGCTCGGGGCGGCAGCTCCCGTGGACTGACGTAACGAGGATACGGCTAGGGAATGTTAGGTTGTTGGATGCGAAGGGACGCGTACACGAGTCGATGGCGAAAGCGCTCATCACGTTGCCGCTCTTGCAGCAGCAGGCGGTCGAGTTCAAGACTGATGGAACGGGCATACTGTCGGCGACGGCGTCCTGGGACTCGAGCGTGCATGACTCCACACTACTGAATCGTGTAACCGCCGCGAACCAACGGATCCTGCTGCAGGCGACGTGGTCGGTCGCAGTGGAGACGTGCAGCGAACCTGTCGAATTCTCTATGGACGTTGCGGTCACAATGCAGACCCGCGACGCGCGTCCTCCTTCGCGCTTCCTGTCCTTCCTCGGATCCACAAAGGTCCTGACCAAGACCAGCAACGTCTTCAATGTTCGCCTTACGCCGCCCTTGACTCGCTCTGCCAAGGATTTATGGCGTTTGGATACCGCGGAGAAGTACGTCAGGGGGGAGGAAGCGCTGGGTTCCTGGAAACCCAGAGGGATCTCGGTTGTGGAGGACTACTCGAGGCTCATTCGTACAGAAGAAAGGGCTGCAGACGTACAAGCCATCCGCGCCATCCTTAATACCATACCTCCTCGGCCGCAGCTGGTAGAACGAGATGTGTGGGGCTCCGAAGATCTATTGAGGAAAGCGATTGAGCTATGGCAGAAACGATTTGGTCACCCGGGTTCTGTGAGCGACGTTCGTTGTTGTGCCTTCCGCCAACTAACCCGATTACAGATTGTTTTAAGCCAAGAACCCGCCGTTGAGGAGACAACAGTACTGTCGAGCAGATCCAGTCATTCTGACGTCGACATCGATACCCTCAAGCTCATATCTAACACCAGGTTGATACCCCGCAGGTTGGCGATTGTATCGTTCTTGCTTATTGTTCTTTCTCATGCTGGCCATGTGTAGCGACGCCCCGACCAAAAAAGGGCATCTGATGCTGCTGGTGGATGCTGCCCAGAACACTTGGGAGAGGAGGTGGTTCGTTCTACGACGGTGAGTTTCCGAAACTGCAAGTTTTTAATCATGATTTGAACTTCTGTCCACAGACCATATTTGCATATGTACAAGCACTCCAATGAGCTAGAAGAAGTCGGGATTGCCAGCTTGAGCGGCGTTAACGTGGAAAGCAATCCAGAGATGGAATACCTCTTTGGGGTCAGTTGGCATTCTTGCTCGTAGACCCTCACTCGCTGACGATGCTTTTCGATTTCATAGAAACGGTTCTGCTTCACTCTGTTCACCGCGTCAAACTCGTACGCTCTTTCGGCGCCGAACCTCAAGGAATTGCAATCATGGACATCGAAACTTGATCCCACCCGTCTTCCTAGTTAATCATTACGACACCTTCACGACCTCTCTTTCTGCGTTTGTCCTCTTTGTTCTACGTTCGTCGCCGTGCTTTGCTACACTACCATCGTATTTTTACTTCAGTTATCCGGTTGCATGTATACCCTTCATTGCAGACACGCTCACACTGGGAACCACCACAGAACATAATCATCTGTACAACTTTACTACTACAGTCCGCATCACCAGTGCTCGTGCGTAGGAATGGAATAGAAAGAATCATAGACTGTTCTTGTATCGATCAGCCATTCGTCCACCGGTCATGGCGAGTGTTGACGGAAGGGCCGACGTGACATGGTCGATGGTCATGCGCTGCCACACAAGCACGAGTAGCGAGGGTAGGATCCGCTTCGAAAACATGTTCATTAGGATGTACACTCTACAATGAAGTGATCGATATAGCACGAAGTGTACGTGTAGATCAAAACGGAACGCAAGTCCGCCGGCATATACTGTGCAACAATTTGTCGTTCACCACATTTAGCGAGTTAGATGAGCACACAGCGCTCACAGTATTGGCCGGGGACCATCGCGGACATCCACCATGTGCCCCATTTGGCCATTAATACGGTACCAAGGAGACCACCGAGTTCAAATAAGGCTACGTGATGAAATGAGCTGTGCTCTCATATTACCGACGTGAGATTGGATGATGCGAGGACGGCGATGTCACCACCCTTTTGGGGGTTGAAAGGATGAGGGTCGTTGACCTACCAAGGCCGATTCCTGCGAGCGCATTGCTAGGAATGTATCCTAGCAAGTTATTCGGATTATGTTTCGGAGCCTTCGACACGTCCGAGGACGTCTTTTCCAAGAGCACAGTGGAAGTGCAGATGGCGGTAACGATGACAGAAGTCGCCAGGAGACGTTCCAAAGCCATGTAATGGTAAACTCGAGCAACGACAGGGAACGGGATGGTTCAGTAGCGCTAGGTTTCTTTGATTCATTACAAGCATCTGGTCATAGCTCTCCTCGTGAGACTTTTGACTGCATCACAGCAAGCATGGCATTTAGGCGAGGATGAGGAGTTTGAGCCTGGCAAGCTTCACTTACATTCATTCCGAAGCTGCACATCGAGCAATCTGGCCTCAAGTCAAGCGTGACTTCCGCCGTCCAATATAGTTGGGCAAGGATGGAACTACCAAGAATGTTCAGTATCATATCTTTCCAGTAGAGCAAAAGCAATAAATATTGAGACCCGTAGGTCTACCACTCCGGGAAAGCGTGTCATCCTTGTGCAGGGGCCATGCTAATCTTCTCTGTATCGTTCCAATTTTATCGTATGTCACCCCGAAGGGGACATTTTTCTTTGGAAGATCGCGCCGTGGCAGGGCGGAAGAAAGGCTTGTGTCGGGCTCGCGGGTCACGCTTGGTATCAACGGCGTGATCGTCAGTGCGCTGTACGCCGTCAGGGCCGTGCACATTGAGCGGACTCATTTCTTTCCGGGCTGAGGTCTGCAGGGGCATCGAGGAGGATGTCGATGAACCGCTGCTAGCTGCCCGAGCTGTTATTCTTGCGTGACGCGTTGTTCGGGCTTTGTCTCGCTGTCCGTGTTCTATCGGTACCAACCACCGGTCCTGACTCCTACGGGACCCCAGAGAGCGAAGATGAAGGACACTGTCTCGCACCAAGCACCAAAAGTCATGTATGTCGCCATAGTGTGTATGTGAACTTGGATCTCATGTATTTACCTCAGCAAGAAGTTACGGTTTACCTTACTCAATGCCCAGGATACTGTCAAGCTTTCGGAGTTTGAGGTCACCCACCGAGATCTATATACCGCACTGGATCGCACACCGGTGAAGAACGGAGTGCTCGATAGACGACTCGTGCGTGCTCATAGATCTGCTTATGTATCCAGGTGACCTAAGTCCTCGATCCAGGGAACATCAGAGAAGAACGCGTTCTGCGAAACCTGCGGCTTGTCCTACGTTGATTGCGTCGGTCACTATGCCTACATCAAGCTAGTTGTCCCTGTTTTCCATATCGGCTACTTCAAGCACACCATCGCTGCGCTGCAATGCATATGCAAGGTACGGCCCACAGTGCTTCATGCTCCTCGACGAGGACTTCATTCTTCTTCAGACATGTGCGCGCGTCTTGCTGGAAGAGCCTGATCGCCGAACATACCTGAAGCGGTTCAGACGCCCCAACCTAGAAAACCTACAACGTCAGGCACTATGTAAGGCAGTCAACTCCGCCGCCAGGAAGGTTGTCTATTGTCCGTACTGTGCGGCGACGAATGGTACGGTCAAAAAGGCGGGCGCGCTCAAGATCATCCACGACAAATTCAGGGCCAAGAAGACGGCGGAGGAGATGGAGCGGTGGAAGAAGACGTTCTCGAACGCGGTCGATGCGCAGAAGGAGTTAGCGACGTATATCGGAAGGGCGGTGCACGAAGACTTGAACCCCTTGAAGGTGCTCGATCTGTTCAGGCGAATATCAGACGAGGTGTGTGATGCTCCAGCGGCTTCCTGAGAAAGGGGGCACTCACACTTCGGTGCAGGACTGTGAACTCTTGGGCATGAAACCGGAGCAGGGCCGACCGGAAGAATTCATCTGGCAATACATTTCCGTCCCACCGGTTGCTATTCGACCTTCAGTCGCCCAAGACGGCGCTTCTAACGAAGACGATCTTACCGTCAAGTTGACTGAGATTGTTTTCACGAATGCTCTGATCAAGCAAGGTCTCGCCAAAGGGGCACCCACGCCGCAGTTCATGGTTCGTTTCCCTGCCCATCCTATACGCGATCCGAACCTGACGAAGTCATCAGGAACAATGGGAATTCCTCCAACTCTCCGTCGCCATGTACATCAACTCGGAGCTGCCGGGCGTGCCATCTCAAATGGGCCAGAAGCCCATCCGTGGCTTCTGCCAGCGGCTGAAGGGTAAACAAGGCCGTTTCCGTGGTAACCTGTCCGGAAAACGTGTAGACTTCTCCGGGCGTACGGTTATCTCACCAGATCCCAACTTACGCATCGATGAGGTCGCCGTGCCGGAGCGCGTCGCGAAGATCCTCACGTACCCGGAGAGAGTGACCGCGCACAACATCGAGAAACTCCGGCAAGCGGTACGGAATGGATGCGATATCCATCCAGGGGCAAACTACGTGACGGCGGGAAGCAGTGGTTTCAAGAAATTCCTCAAGTTTGGCAAGAGGGATGCGATCGCAGATGGTCTCAGGATAGGGGATATTGTCGAGAGGCATATCATTGATGGCGACATCGTACTCTTCAACCGACAACCCAGTTTACACAAGGTATGTAATGTCTAACCTCGTCTTCTGCTCTTATATTGACGCATGTTAGCTCTCCATCATGTGTCACAGGGTGCGTGATATCGCTTGCAAGGGCTTGGGCGACCTCTGACCCTCTGATGCTCAGGTCAAAGTACGGCCCTGGCGAACTTTCCGTCTGAACGAATGTGTTTGTGGTCCCTATAACGCCGACTTTGATGGTGATGAGATGAATCTTCGTAAGTATTTGCGGCTTTTGTTGATTAGGGCGACAGTTGACCATTTTCTCCAGACGTTCCACAAACGGAAGAAGCCCGCACAGAAGCTTTGGAGCTGATGAACATCAAGCATAATCTGGTGTCGCCGCGTAATGGAGAACCCGTTATCGCCGCCATTCAGGACTTTATCACCGCTTCCTTCCTCCTTTCTCAGAGGGACCGGTTCTTCGACAGGAGCCAGTTCACCCAAGTATGCTCCTACTTTGCGGATGCTAACCTCCATATCGACATCCCACCACCGACAATATGGAAGCCCCAAAGGTTGTGGACGGGCAAGCAAGTGTTCAACGTACTTATGCGGCCGAACAAGAAGTCGAATATTCTCGTCAACGTCGAGAGTAAATGCAACAAGGTGGAGGCCCCGAAAGCGGAGAACTACCCGAAGCGTATGAAGCCCATCAATGACCTCGCACCGAATGATGGATGGCTCGTCGTCGTCAACAGCGAGATCATGTGCGGGGTCATGGACAAGGCTACGCTGGGAAGCGGGAAGAAGAAATCCATCTTCGGTGTAATCCTTCGAGATTATGGGCCTCATGAGGCGGCAGCTGCAATGAACCGGGTTGCGAAACTTTCGGCTCGTTGGCTAGGTAAGGCTGTGTGACATCCTCTACTTGCTGTTCTTCGGGGACGCTCACCCATTATTGGTAGCAAACTACGGGTTCTCGCTCGGCATCAACGACGTCATTCCTGGACCTGTGCTCTTCTCCAAGAAGGATCAACTGGTGGAGAAGGCATATGCCGCTTGTCTTGATCTCATCGCTCGGGCGAAGAAAGGCTTGCTTGAGAACAAGGCGGGATGCAATCAGGAACAGACGTTGGAGGCCATGATATCTTCCGTCCTGTCGAAAGTTCGAGACGAAGTTGGTGAAATTTGCTTGAAGGAGCTGAGCCGGTATAATGCGCCTTTGATCATGGCCACCTGTGGTTCCAAGGGTAGGTGTCTGAACGATACCGATATTTCACCCTACTAATAGTGCCCCACAGGTTCCGTGATTAACGTTGCACAGATGGTGGCTTGTGTGGGTCAGCAGATCATTGCTGGTCACCGTGTTCCCGACGGCTTCCAAGATCGTTCACTGCCGCACTTTCCGAAGAAGTCTCGCGAACCACCCTCGAAGGGATTTGTCAGGAACAGCTTCTACAGCGGCCTACTGCCAACCGAGTTCTTGTTCCACGCCATATCGGGTCGAGAAGGTCTCGTCGATACCGCTGTGAAAACAGCAGAAACTGGTTACATGCAGCGTCGTCTGATGAAAGCCCTTGAGGATTTGACAACTCACTACGACCTGACGGTACGCAACGCCATTGGTGGCATCGTGCAGTTCCGATATGGTGACGACGGTCTGGACCCGGCGTGTCTTGAAGGCGACGCGCAGCCATTGGACATGGAACGAGCCTGGACGCACGCTAGGGTAAGGTTGTTCAGTCTCAGTTCTACTCGGCGACTGACCGTTTCGTAGTCTATATCATCTAGGGCCGGGCGGAGCTTACTCCCCTACGAAGTACTCGAGATCACGGACGCTGAACTGTCGCAATCGAAGTTCGTCTCGGAGTGCACAGCAGCGTATCGGGCGACGGTTCGAGGCTTCGTGACAGAGCATATCGCTCATCGGCTCGCGGAGGTTCGAAGGAGCCGCGGCATGTTCGACGCTTTGGAGCGCGAAGACGAGTGGGATTCCGATACCGACTTGTCCATGGGCGCTGATGGTAAAACTCCAACAATTCCCCTTGAACTTTGCTTATCTTTCGCTCGCAGTCACGGAGAAAGCATACGTCGAGAATAAATCCAAGGTTACCGAAGACCAGCTGCGTATGTTCTTGCAGCTCTGCTGGGTTAAATACGTCAAGGCGAAGATCGAACCCGGCTCGACGGTCGGCGCCGTGGGAGCCCAGTCGATTGGTGAACCGGGTACGCAGATGACCCTGAAGACATTCCATTTTGCTGGTGTTGCGTCTATGAACGTCACGCTGGGAGTCCCTCGTATCAAGGAGATTATCAATGCTGCGAAAGTCATCAGCACCCCTATCATCAGCTGCAAACTCGTTACTCCGAACAGCGAACCATCGGCTCGTATAGTCAAGGGTCGTCTAGAGAAGACGCATCTCGGTGATGTAGTAGCGCTGTCGCTACGACCGACTCTCCTGCTCACTTATGGCTTCTTCAGGTGGCGGCTGTCCTTGAAGAAGCTTGGGCTCCAGAGTACACCTACATTGGGGTTATCGTCGATACGGATGCGATCCAGAAACTCCAGGTTGATTTCTTCACTACCCATCTCTCGCTGCATCGTACTCATTCCAACGATATAGCTCGAGCTCACCCTCGATGACATAAAGTGGGCTATAGTCAACGCGAAGAAGCTTAAGATAAAACAGGAGGTACGCTTCCTCACGATGTCAGAAAATGCGTTGTTCAAGTAAACTCGCCAGTCAATCACTGTCATTCCAAGGCGTAACCGACTACGCATATATATTGACGGCATCGATAAATACTATCGATTACGGGAGCTGAAAAGGCAATTGCCAGACGTAGTCGTGAAGGTACGTCTCCCACTGCGTATCGTGGAGAACCTGAACTCACCTTTAGTCGTAGGGAGTACCCAGTATTAGACGAGCCGTCATCAACATAAAAGAGAAGGACGACCCGAAGGGTAAAAAGGGCGACAACGAGTTGCTCGTCGAGGGCTATGGCTTGCAGAAAGTCATGACCACCGAGGGTTCGTCACTTTATTTGTACGCATCCATCCGCTGACTGTGATACAGGAATTGTTGGCGAACATACGTCGTCGAATCATATCATTGAGGTCGCTCAAGTCCTGGGTATCGAAGCATCGAGGCGTACGATCATCAACGAGATCCAATACACCATGGTCTCTCATGGCATGAGTATTGACCCTCGTCATATCACACTGCTAGGAGATGTCATGACATATAAGGTGTGATTGCCTAATCACTGCATTGCATGGAAGAGGCTCACATCGACACAGGGCGAAGTGCTCGGTATTACGCGGTTCGGGGTTGCAAAGATGAAGGATAGCGTCTTGATGTTGGCTTCTTTCGAGAAAACAACGGATCACCTATTCGACGCCTCTGCGTACGGCAAAAATGACAGCATCGCCGGCGTATCAGAGAGCATCATCATGGGCAACCCTGCAGCGAACTGCGGAACCTCATTGTGAGTGCTACCCTTTCATCTGTGCACTACTTGCTCACATGTGCCCGTCGTAGACCTGCTCTGGTGACACCAGCGCCCAACATCAGCAAACCCCGAAAGCTACTGTTTGAAGGTGCCCTCTGATTTATCCATGCACTTGTACTTTTCCCACAATCACTTTGTAAGCATTATTATATTAAAATGTAGCCCTATATCGTCACTTGGGATATAACCGAGTCAAAGCGCGCTAGAATTACGTATTGCCATTGGGCATACTCACGCGATGGTCATTGGAAATGTAGTTGCACCCATCGTTCATACGCGGCGTGGGAACAGTACTCCGCCTCTGTCTTGCACAACTTCCACCTCAGATGTCAGGCTTCCGTTGCCTTCGCATCCTTCGCATCTATATACTGGCACGGACATTTTCTTGCTCTGTGCCAATCGATATGAACTCATAGGCTATTGGCGAGTTAGGTTATCTCTGCTTTCCAGATAAAGCCCACTGGCCGGATTTCGGCTCCGAGCAAGCGGCCCGCTATGACCCTAGCCTGGACGTAAAGGCAGACACAAGTAGTTGTAAGCAAGGATAAAGCCTCGTGCTTTGGCTTGAACGTTGACCCAGTTCAGCACCCCCTCCCCCGCACGGCAGACCGCCAGCACCTTTGCCCCGCGTACGGTGATGGACGCCATTCCTTTCCGAGTTCTTGACGTGAGAGCCATCGTTGCCGCCGACATACCTGCAGGCTTGCCTGCAGTTCCGACGGATTTCGTTGATCCTGTTGGTGAAGTACCGAAGAAGGAAGTTATCGAAGCCGTTGGCGATTCCTCGGGAGTGGACGCTCTTCCAGTAATACAGTACGGCACCGCCCCGAACCTAAACTCTGGTGTCGCCAGTTCCTCCACTTCCACCAACCACGACCCTGCCCTGCAGGCTGGCGAAGAACACCGTGGGGTCCCTGAAAGCGCATCGTTACGTCGGTTGCGCCTGGCCGCTGCGTTTGCTGCCCTTTTTCTCGCAGGGTGGAAGTGAGTGGTCACTGTTACATCTCATGCCCGTCATTGACAACGAGGTGTATACTTAGTGGAGGTTCCACGGGCGCTCTGCTCCCGTATATAGAGCGCGCTTATGGGCTGAGCTATGCTAAAGCTTCCTTGCTTTTCATTTCGGCGTTCTTTGGTTACGTTGGCGCTGCTATCACCACAGGAGTCCTTGGCAGGCGTCTCGGCTATGGACATTCGCTGGCCGTGGCTGTCGGCGTCCAGCTTGCAGGAGTGGGTTCCTTGATATGTAGTCACCGTTAAAGTTGCTGACGGACCGTCGGAGCAGAACATAATCAATGGCTCGCAACAGAAGAGCTTCGGTCTCATGTGCTTCGGGTTCCTGATCGTCGGGTTCGGGTTCTCTACTCAAGTGAGTTGGTATGCGCCATTATATATGGAACCTGCTACTGACATTGCTTTTGGCCTCCCAGCTTGGCCTGTTCCATGCATATTTCGCACTGCTCCGCAAGCCTCTGTTATATACCGGCGTCCTTCACGGTATCTTTGGTCTTGGTGCATTTGCGAGCCCATTAGTGGCAACTGCGATGGTAACATCAGGGGCTCCAGTAAGTGAGCATGCCTACAAGCTTCTTATTAGTATTCACAATCGACCACTTAGTATCATGTGTTTTATCTGACGAACGTCGGCATGAACATCCCCGTGTTAGCTCTGGTCTTCGCGGCCTTTCACAAGTTACAAGCGCTGCCTCGGGATCCGTCTGAATTGGAGTCATCTTCGCCTCCGAAGGCAGGCTTGAGGCGGACGATTAGCAATCCCACAGTTTGGATACTGTCTTTGTTCCTGATGTGTTATGTTGGGTAAGAAGATTCCCGCTCGCATGGAATGGAGCTGAATTTCGTCGGACCCCTTCAGAGCTGAGGATTCGATGCGAGTTGTTGTTCTCTTCGTCACATCGCCAGACGTGACTTAATCAAGGATTTGCAGAGGAGGTTGGACCGTGTCGTATGTGCGCGACGTTCGCAACGGCAGTCCCCAGAGCGCTTCTTGGGTGACATCCTCGTTCTACCTCGGTGATCATTCATGCCGATTCACTCCTCTTACTTGATCTGATTACAATACCTAGGAATCGCTGTTGGTCGTATCCTGCTCCCGGCCTTGAACATGTTCATCGGAGAACGCTCCGCCGTGTTCGTGTACTTGGCTCTAGCCCTCGCGATGGAACTCATTGCATGGCTCGTACCGCTACTCGCGACCACGGCAGTGGCCACCGCTATTGTCGGCCTTGCGATCTCGACGTTCTACGCGGCGGTTGTCACTACCGCCGGACGGTTGCTTCCGCGTGCCATGCACGCAGAGGCGTTCGCGTTCATCAGTAGCGTCGGTCAGAGCGGGTCGGCGTTCTTCCCGTTACTCATCGGGCTCATCAGTACGAGGAAGGGGATATGGGTCGTAGTCAGTCTTTTCGAACATCATGAAGGTCTCCCAGGTTTTGCTGATCAGCTGACGTGTCGTAGGAACCGACCGTGGTAGCTCTGTTGTGTGCTCAGGCCATATTCTGGTTCATGGTCCCGAAGACGATTCGCCGTAGGGACTGATCGGGATCTGCACGAGATCGAGACATCTGGAAACACAATAAATCCTAGGAGGAGCGTAGTCATGAATAGAAACAGAACGAAGTACACCGTAGATTTACTAGTCCTTCTCCGCGTATGCCAGTAACCAGCGCTCGACCTCATCCTCGTCCAACACGCGCCACTTGCCCGCACCCTTGCCCTCATCGTCGGCTGTTGAGACTATGCCAATTTCAATCTCTCCGGGCTTGTAATCGGTCGCGTGGACGCTCGACATGGCCTCGATCGCGATCTGAATGGGTATAGATGCGTACTCAACGAAGTGTTCGTGGTTGCGAGAGAGGGTGTCGAGCACATACCTCGATCACGTCGGCCTTGCCCAGCGTCTTCCCGGCAGCGGCAGCGTCGTCCGCTCCTCGGCCATTGTCGAGCTTCTTCCACTTCTTCTCAAGGTGATTCATCGCCTCTGTGGGGTCGTGCGTTAGCGTTAGAGCCATCGGCATGAAACCTTGTGACGACATTAACCTTGTTGTTTCTGTCCGGCCGACGCGGCATGGAAGCCGACGAAGTAGCCCGCGGGGTCGAGCTTGAAGCATTGGGGTCCATATTCGGGATCGTTTCCGATGAGAATCATCGCTGATGGGATATGCTGGTCAACGCGGGGAACAAGTCGCATGGAAACGGCGAACTCCGGCACGAGATGCCTGGTGGGCGTTACGATGGAAGACAACACGTACATATACCCAGTGGTCGCATGGCAGCACGCTGCGTGTATACTTGGTTGATGTTGGCCAACCTGCGGGCGAGAGCGTCGGGCGTTATCTCGTAGCCGTACTTGTATCGGAAATCAGCCGCTTCAGACCGCGCTCGGGCCACTTGTGCACGAGCGTCGGCTGCATCAACCATTTGAGAGAGCTGCAGACTTCGAACACACATGGAACATACCGATCAGTCCTGTCATAACAGCTCCTATCGTTGGCGTGATGCTGAACAAATGGGTGACCGTGTCCGCGTCAAGAAGCTTGTCCTACGGGTAGCGGGTACGTTAGCCAAAAGATAGGAATCTATGTGTACGGCTGGGAAATCACCGGGACTTTCTTCTGTGTGATCACCACCGCCGTGTCCTTGCCCCGTACCGCGATCGCAGTGTGGCCGGACCCGGAGATCGCCTTGAAGGCGTATTCTAGGCAAACATGGATCAGACCAGTAAAGCAATAGTATGATTCCTCGTCGTACCAACTTGATACAGGCGACCTTCCGGAGAGAAGACAGTGAGATATCTGGGGGTAGTCCAACAGTTAACCGATCATCTCGAGCAGAAGCCGACTTTATCGAAAGGCACCTGTCGTAAGATGTGCGCGACATTTTGCAGCCAAGTCCTGTACGTCCGGTTTTCGCCCAAGGTTACACCAGACAAGCGGGAAGAAGGACGTGGAGGAAGATGGATACCCAAGAGGTGAACGCGTAATGGGAGACGCGAGGTGGAATAGGCGCCCGTACCTGCGACGCGTCACCCGAGTAAGCGCCTGTAAACCTTGACTTAATCTCCTCCTCCGTAGGGGTTTTTTTTTTTCGTATTTGTTCCCGCTGCGCGACACTGTCGTCATAGCTATCCAGATTTCATCGACGGCCTTTCAGTGCGGGGATACGAAACGTCTCAGCTGCCGCGGAAATCGATAAACCTGTTGGTTCCGTCAACAATGCGATTACGCAATTCGCCCATATCATTTTTGCTCCCATCGCTTGAGACGAATCATCACCCTGAAACTGCGCCGCAACAACACTAGAAGGGTGCTCGGGCGTCAATCAAGCCGATTCGGAGTCGGGAATCCTTGCTTGCAACCAGCTGCGAGCCTTGGCGCGTCGCAGATCGAACGGAGATTTTGCCTTGGCGTGAGGTGCAACTATCTGCGCTTTGCTGTCGACGTCTGCTGGGAACATATACTGCAACATATCTGTCATAAGCCGCCAAACATGCCGAACATCGCGCGTGTATGCTGCGCATACGCTCGATGACGACGTGGTGTATCGACCCGACACACGGCACCCGAAGTCGGGAGCGCAAGATACCGGGAATGAGTGGATCGACCGACTTCCGACCAACGGCTTCCTAACGACGCCATCTTGATAGTATTCGACTTGAAGTGGAACTGCTCGGTTCTCGGGTGTAACGCCGGACTTGGGCCTCACCGTGGGCCACCGTTCCGGTGCCCACCTACCCCTCGGGCACGACGAAGGATTACTTACAGATCACAACTGCATCGGTGCTTGTGCTTATGATGTGATGTGCACCGCCGCGAGCGGGGCCCAATCCGCCGCCGAAGCCCGTTCTCTCGGTTAAGCCTGCTCCGTACGCTATCCGGCGTGCGCTGCTTAGGCGGCCGAGTATATATATAAGCTGCAGACCTCGACCAATCCCCAACCCAATCTTCGAGATTCTCCGTAAACAACAAGTAGCAGCCATGCCGATCATATTACCTCTGAGCTGCCTTGGTTATAGCGAAATCGTCGTCACCCAACGTCCTCGCCACGGTTCGCCCATGCATTCCGAGGCCTCGCGTTCAGTTTCACCCGACGAAACACCACAGCTCTATACCTCGCCCCCCGTCGCGTTCTCCAGTCGTCGTCGTATGGCAGGTCTCCAGCACCCAAACGCTGCGAAACGCGACCATATCTACACAGGCACGATCGAACACGGTTTTCCCCATGGCGAGCTTCTCGCTAATATGCTTTCCGCCTCACTCAGCCCGCCTCGCCGCCCTCTCCGCAGACGCGTTTCCCGTTCTTCCGTGGCCATTAACCCCATCGCGAACGTTCGAATCGGGCATCCGCCGCTACCCCTGGACGCATCTCTCGGAGGATCGGAGAGGTAAAGAAGCCCCTTTCGATTGAATCACCCTGCGCGAGATGCGTATTAATAGGGCTGTTCGTTATCTCTAGGATCCTCTTTGAGGATTACTCGCCGACACGGCGCAAGATCGGTTCGGAGGATCACGAGCCGGCGTCGTTGATTACTTCATATTGGTATTGAAAGCGCCATTCCGAATCGATCGCCCCTTCCTTTCGAAGACGAAAACGTTCTCTGCGACAACATGCGCCCGGGTATATCGGGTTTCATCGAGTCTGTGGATTGTCAGTGCAGAACGAGCGCGTTCTGCAAATACGAATAGAACAGGATGGCAGAAGGCGACTCTTTCCTTCTATCTTCTCAGAGTGGGTACTGGACCGGGCCGGGACTAGGCGGCCCCTCGAAGATGTGGGTGGACAGTGTGAGATAAATAGACTAGTAGCGTTACAACGGTTGTCTTGTAAAATCGCTACCACATGGACGCTCCGCCCGTCTAGAGCAACAGAAATCAGCATCGAATCACGGCTATTTGACCATCGGCAACAGGCCGGGGTAGTGAGGAGACTAACCATGATCGCGTCTACTTCACGGTCGTCTAATTGGTGAACTCTCGGACTCCAGAGATGCGACGGAGCTTCCCAAAAGTTCTGGAACGCGCGGTTGTTTGACGTTTCCTGCTTGGGAGTCGACGACGATTGCGCGCTCGACCCTGTTGAGTTCGATCAGCAGCGGATCGTGAGAGGTGTGTTGATCCCATGACTCGGCATCAGTAGGAAGAACAGCAGAGCCAACATTGAAGCACCACTAGGTAGAGACTGCCGCACGGGGGAAGCGGGTCTTACGCAGCCTCGACCCTCCGAAGCCAACCTGCCCGTCCGACGCATGAACGTCCCGTGGGGTCGAAAGCAGGACAAGTACATAGAGCTTGGGAATGATCGTGATAGTGAAGTGACGGCGCGGAGCAACGTAGAAGTGTGTACGTGGCGAAAGGGAGAACAGGCAATGCGGGGAACATGCGTTTGCGACACGTACCTGACGCGTCCACCTTTTTCACGAAATCACCAAAAGCCTTTTGCACCTCCGCCGGCGCAAAAGGGTGAGCATGTGGGGCCTCCGGCGCTGTTCATACGACCCGAGTCAGTTGCCGACAACATGACGGGGTGTTCGGATTGTGCGTGCGTACTTGATGGCCATTGCCGCTTGCCAATGAAATGGATCAGAGGCTTGTGCTGTAATAGGCGGGCGGCTGGGCGCATGTCGTCGAGCTTAATTGATGCAGTAGCAAGGAAGAAATTGAGATATGTGCAAGACAGTAAGTCGTACTGCAAACGATGCACGTTCTGTAACGGATGGTTTCGGAGAGCCGGTAACGTCACATGTGTTAGTGCGGTGGCTGAGCATCGTGTTTGGCATTGTTAGGATCGGAAGTCCTTGGGCTACAACCTCAGCTTATTTTCTGGATCAAGCTGGGCCATTGGGATGTCCTTTCGATGCGACCATGCTTTCCGAAATATAATTCGAGTGCTATATAAGCTGCATTCTGTAGCGTACTCCATTGCTCTTCTTCCGTTGAACCCGCTATCATGACATACCGACATGCAATGCAGTATTTCCCGTTCGGCGGCGATGAATTACTGGATTGTTTCCCCTTGGAGCGAACTATCGCGTCCCGTCCATGCCTTTCATCCTGAGGAAATATCTATTTGTGGATACGCCGTCAATGTGTAAGTGATGGGTCAATCCGCATCGCCGCGAAACCCAGATCTATCGTGTAGGAAGCCGGCGGAGCAACTTCGCGCGCGCAGACACAATAAGTAGGCTCAGTTCGCAACGCGGATGACTTTATCCGCGGCAGGATTGCTGGGTAAGTGGATGACGGCAGAATCAACACGCAGGAGCGGCCCACACGGAAGTGCACGCGTGGTGATTCATGCCCACGGTCTGATTCGACTGAGTCCTGACAGCCGCGTTGCTGAAGTGCATTGAACACGATTGAGGTTGTGTTACTGAAGGCGACGCGGTCCAATGACACTTCACGGGATGGTGACATCTGTCGCGATCTTGTCGACGCTGAGATACCACTTGAATGCCTAAGTATTTCTGGCACTAGGAAAGCTGGACTTGTGAGAGCTTGGTTAAGTAGAGAGTCCGACACGGTGTGCAGTATCAGCGGCGGGTACGATGCCGTAACAGTGATGCATCCAACAATGAGAGCAACGGCGTCCAATCATCTTTTATCTTTCATTAGGAGACAGCAGCTTTCCGTTGATTGCGCAAGTACACGCTGTTCGGCAGTGTGGGCGAGCAAAGAGGATCATGGTGGTGGCAGTTGAAGCCTGTGCGTGCGGCAGCGCCCAATGCATCTCCACCGCCATCCACGACCACCCCGGCCGTCGCCCGCTCGCGCACCTCTGTCAGTGACCCTCGCTTTCAAACCTAGTCTTGCATGTCGATCCTGAGCAGCCATCAGACGAGCAACGAGGAGGGTGGGTCGTATGATGACGACCTTGGCGGAGACGCGCCGTCGTATGACCATACACAACCACTCGTGCCGTCTCGTTCAAACCAGGCTGGAGAGATGACGGAGAGCGTGGAAACTCGAACATTGAATCGAATGCTACCTCGCGCCAATAGGGTTGGCGGCAGGCATAAACCGATCTATGTACCTGACGAACCTCAGCCGACGAACGGTGGCCCAAATCCCGCCCCGCAGCCACGGAGTCGAAATACCCACAGTACCATAGTGGAGGCGAACATATGGTACGCGCACTCCGTCAGATTACGCTGGGTTACGTTGATCCACTATTTGACATGCAGCATCGCGACGGACGCGAACGATACGAACATCAAGCTTCTCACCGAGGTCAAACACCGCGTCGAATTGACCCTCTTGGACTTCTTGGTCGACTACGAACGCAGGGTATGGATAGCCGCCGGCGAAGAGTCCAGTCCACGCCCGCATAACCACGCCATGTCCCTCCAGGAGCCCCATGCATATCCCGCCCCTTCGATGGATACGTACAAGGAATCTTACTCTCCCAGGTCCCACGCAATTCCAATTCCAGAGACATTTGACATGCCCCTGGACGCGCCGCCCACGTCCTACGATCAATCGATACGGCGCGCCTCGAGCCCTTCATCGGATTCCCATGCCTCGTCCCCGCCTTCCCCGATCCATTTCGAATCGTCCTCGTTGCAAATTGGCGGGACCACTCGCGACCCTGAGCCCAACCAGGTCGACGCAGACGCGTTGACGCGTTCTCCGAAGAAGAGGAAGAAGAAGCCGAAGAAGGCTAAAGGGAAGGCCGCTCCTCCTGGGCACGCGGCGTCGTCCAACCCCTCCCTGGCGCCGCCTCTGGAACTCGCCCCGCCGTCTTCTCCGCTCCCCGTCCGAAAACACCCGAGCGCAAGCGCTGGCGTGCACACCTGCGTCAGCACGGGCTGCATCGATCCCTTCTGCCTCCGGCGCACCAAGCGCACCGCGCCGCCGAGCCCGCTCATCGAGCTCGAGAAGCTCGTCGCGGACCTGCCTCCCCACCCGAACATCGACATGGACCGGATGGTCGACAACCTTCGAAGGATGGTTGCAATCCACGAGGAGTGCGACCGCGAGGTCGATCACTCGCAGGCGGCGCTACGAATGGAAGGCGACTCCGTCCAGGAGGTCGCGCTCCGGCTCGACCTCGTGCAGGCGTGCGAGCGCAGGCTGGAAAGGCTGCGTGGGGAGTACATGAAGCGGCTGCAGGAGGTGCAGCAGAGCATCGACGTGTTTCGGGAGGCGTCTCGCCCGCCCCCAGCTAAGGCATGCCCGGTCCACGGGCAACGTTCTTGAATCGACGACGACGACGACGATATTTATGATTCGTACCATGTATCTACCATAACCAAGGGGAAGCTTTTACGGCTTATTGGTTCCTTCCCAACATCGCCACATCACATTGAACGGCTTGGAGGAATTCATGCAACGTTGTGCTTGAAGCAAGTTGACCTGAATTGTTGTGGTCAGGTCCGTTTGTCTCCGGCTACATATAACCTTTGACACACAAGCATGTGATTTACCCCGCGAGCTCCGGATCGTCACCCCGCACTGAAAACCGCTTGCGTCGTTGACCATAATCCATTCTTCTCGCTCTCTACGACGATGTTGCGCTCAGCCGTTCGCTCCGTCAAACCTGCTTCATTGACTCACTCTGGCGCCGCGGTATGCTCGCGAGCAACGGCCAGGCGCGTTCTGCGACCGTTCTCGTCCTCGGCAAGATGTTCTGAGGGGTCGGTCTTCCCGTCACTCGATATGTTGACGGACGAGGAGCAGATGCTTCGGGAATCTGGTGAGGCTTCAACTATACTGTGACATGCTCTGGGCTAATAGGCCTGTAATGTCAAGTCTCACGGTTCGCGACTGAAGTCGTTGGTCCTAAGGTCCGGGAAATGGACGAGCAGGAGATGATGGACCCCGAGATCATCAGGGGCCTCTTCGAGCAAGGGGTAAGCTCACAACTCGGGGTATTGTTCTCTCAGTGGTTCCGAGACTAATTCCAATGCACAGTTGATGGGGATAGAAACCCCTGCGGATCTAGGCGGAGCCGAATCCTCGTTCACCTCCGCAATCATCGCCATAGAAGAGCTCGCGAAAGTTGATCCTTCCGTCTCAGTACTATGCGACGTGCACAATACCCTCGTGAACACGATATTCCGCAAGTACGCTACGAAGGAACAACAGGAGAAGTGGTTGCCTCAACTATCAGAGAACAAGGTACGCTTATCCTATACACTCCCGATTCGTTTTGACTTGACCGAACATCCATTATGCTAGCTCGGCTCGTTCTGTCTCTCCGAACCTGCTTCCGGATCGGATGCGTTCGCTTTGCAAACACGAGCGAAGAAGGATGGCAGCGACTGGGTCATCAACGGCTCCAAGATGTGGATTACAAATTCTTACGAGGCCGAGATCTTCCTGATATTCGCTAATGTCAGTATCTACGCTGTCACTCCATACTTGCATCAATCAAGTGGGTATTTATTCAGGTGGACCCCTCGAAAGGGTACAAGGGCATCACCTGCTTCGTCGCGACGAAGGACATGGGGATCCAAATAGCCAAGAAAGAGCAGAAGCTCGGCATCCGCGCCTCGTCTACGTGCACGCTCAACTTCGACGACCTCCGTGTCCCAGAGGAGAACGTGATCGGTCAGGTCGGCCAGGGTTACAAGATTGCGATCGAGATCCTCAACGAGGGCCGGGTCGGCATCGCGGCGCAGATGGTCGGGCTCGCGCAGGGGGCGTTCGCCAAGGCCGTACCCTACACGTACGAGCGCAAGCAATTCGGGCAGCCGATCGGGACCTTCCAAGCGATGCAGCACCAGATCGCGGCCGCGGCGACGGAGATCGAGACGGCCAGGCTGCTGACGTACAACGCCGCGAGGCGAAAGGAGAACGGGCTGAGCTTCACGAAGGAGGCGGCGATGGCCAAGTGGTGGGCGAGCGTCGTCGCGCAGAAGGTCAGCGGCGCCGCGATTGAATGGGCGGGCGGCGTCGGCTTCACGAGGGAAACGGGCATCGAGAAGTACTGGAGGGACTCGAAGATCGTACGTTGGTTTCTCAGTTTTGGGTTTCTAGCACTGACAACAGTGTCACTGCAGGGAGCTATTTATGAGGGCACCTCAAATATTCAGCTCAACACCATCGCCAAATTCATCCAAAAGGAGTACTCATAACATTACACGCATGTGTATACGTATATGTATTCACACTGGCCATCAACTTCGATAGAGAAACAATGTGGATATATCTGAACGGCCGGAAATGCTCTTCGATATACTTGAACCTTCTCTTTTCTGGAGACCGCCATGCATGACCTCCGCGGTGGCACCGCTACAGGAATATGGCAAGGTTTGTTCGACCATGCGGTCGGTGATTCACTCTGGCGAAGTCAGCAGACTTTTATGTCACCCCTCGTTCGCCTCGCCAATAGGTCCACAAACAGCTTTTGTCCTCGATTGGCGACAATGGCGCTGATCTGTTCTTGGTCAGAAAAGACAGCGGCGCCGTCATTCAGTCGGCGGGCGTTAGGCTCGCGAGGTAGACCGGCACCGACTGCCACCCAGAAGTACCGGAGAGGCTCCAAGATCGTACATCTAAATCAGGAAAGAGTTACCTCCCGCTTTGAGGGTGCCTCTACAGGGCATTATTGATGCGCTTCGAACAAAATTCATTCAACACTCTCGCCGACTTCATCAAGAAGGATTACTCATAGAACGGTGTATTTATTTACGTAGATGGTCTTGATTAGATCCATACCATGGCACAATTGCCGATATTGACGGCGGTGAATGGGCCTTCTTCTAGAGACCTCCTGAACCGTATATGCCAAGATTGGTTCGATCGGGAGCCACCTTCCGGAGTGCGTCGTAGCCCGGAGGTGTGAATGCCTTGGGCCTTGGGCCGTTCGCGTAGGACGTAGCGATTTCAACCTCTGACGAAGACAAGGTGGGAATCGTCGGAGTCAGTATGCTCTTCCTGTCCGACGTGGACGGTTCGGGAGAGAAGCCCGGCACCGAGAACGGCTGTACGACGACAGCATACTAGTTGTGTAAGTCAGCGCTTCCGGGCATGGTATGGCTGACACGGTCTAACTTACAGTAATGCTCAAAATGGCGAAGTAAGTTGTGGGTCGAACGTCAACCGGAATTTTGATCTCCCCTTGGAGAGCGCGCTCGTTGGCAGCGTTGTGCGCTCCACGGTCTGGCCACCAACTCGCTTCCGCCAAGATATCTTTGATAACAAGGTAACTGGCATCCGTACTCTTATCCGCTTCGTTGACGTTCCCTTGCACACGAGGATTGCACGTTTGGCGCCTTATGAGACACACGCGTGGTGCTTCCGGCTGAGCGAAAAGGTCCAAAGCCGTGTCGTCTTCGCATTGGATGCGCAGTGAAAGGGGTATCGGTGTGCTCCGCGTGTAGCAAAGCTAGCAGGACCCGATAGCGTGTGATCAGCTGGGAAGTCATATCTGGCACAAACCGCTTACAGGCTTTGCGAGAGATAGCTGGATACCGATGTCAGATTTAGTATACACGGTGAGTGAAGCACGTACCGTGCATCGTACTTGAACCTTCTGCTTTCCGAAAAGCATACCGTTGACAGTTATCGCATCTACGTCTAGCCAACCGTCGCGATCACCCATAGGGCCTATGAGAGCATCCGCGTTCTCCTGATAGACCAGCTGACGCAATTCAGAGGGTGGACTGGGCTGAGATTTCGGGTGATAGACGAAGTGCTGGTTCAACCTGTCCACGTATGAGATCCTCCGCTTGTGATTGTGCGTATTTGCATAGCAAACCGTGTATCTATCCTGAACCTTCCACGCTGCACGTGGACCTCAAGGTGATAGTAAATCGAAAATTGGCCGCCTACGTCTTCGCATGTAGGTGGCATGCGATACGTCTTCGGCGTCCCATCATCGCCAGCTTTGTGGGCGATGGTCTTGGGGAGGGTATACGTAACCTCGCGCGGTAGCTTGAAGGAGAAAGGAAACGTGTACTGGCCAACAAGCTTGAGTGATTTCTTGGAAGCTGGCGTACTAGATACTGCGGAGGGATTGAAGCCAGGTGGGTTGAGATCGTCTTGTTCTGCTCTCCATAATGTGTACGTTTCTCTGTGGAAGTGGAGCGAGGGTCCGGACGCCCACTTAGGAAGTATCGCGACGCCCATAATCTAGTATCTGCGTCGATGAGAAGTGTAGATAATCTCAGCATTTGACTGACCGAAACAGTGATCGCAACTATAGCGTCGGGTTTCTGAAGGTCGAGCTCGACGGAGCCTGTAATCGTGTCGCCTTCCCAGAACTCGGGCACGAACTTGGCATCGCGTGCGCGACTACGCAATTTCAACGTGAACCAAGGGCTGCCTTTGCCATCTTCGATATGAACTTCGTGGGAGACGAGTTCTCGTCGTGCGGCTGCAGAAGGATGTTGTTGGGATTGAGCACCCGAGTACGCCGGGAGGTCGTCGCTCATGGTGAATACCAGCAGACACAATGTCGACCATATGCCGGGGAAGAGCCAGCGATTTATACGAGCGTGAAATATGCAGCTCTTGACACGACTGTGCGGGAAGGCTGTACATGTGCTTCAGGGTGGTGTTGGTCGAGGACGGCACAGAGTGTCTACGAAGCTGTCGTGATGGTTTCCTCAAATCTCCAGGGGCACCAATGAGCGTCGTCAACGCTGGCAATGCGTTGTTATCGGTAAATTGGAGTGATGTTTCTTCCACAAAGGTAGACAATTATCGCAACTCTCGCGATAGACTCCGATGGCGGCGGTCATTATCATAGCTTGGATGGCAGTTGAATGTGAGAGCGATATTACTGATACATGCTCCGTCCTGGGGAGCGTTGACATGATGTGAGTCCTTACGCAATAGCAAACAGGGCGTGTTGGGAAGGCTGCATGCAGGCCGTGGGCCAAAGAAGGACGGAACACTGCAGCTTCCGCAGCTTTCCACGTGATCTGGGACACTTCCATTGATTTATCAGATTAAGGGGTGCGAAGGTTCACTGTTCATTAGTATTACCATGCAAGCATACAAACTAGTAGTGGTTAGTCAAAACGTGTGTGATCTAGCCTGCAGATTTGCCGTAGACTTCTTTGGCGTGGACCATGCGGACCTGGAACAGCAGGATGCCCTCGTACACCGCCCAGCCAATGGCAGAGCTGAGGACCTTGCGCGAAAGTCGGAGAGCGGCCCCGTCAAGGAAGCCAAATACACCCCGTTGCTATAATCAGGCCCCCATGAGTCAATGATTGCATGATAAGATGCAAGATAAGGCACACCGTCCATATCGTCTTGGTCGTCGTCCATAGACCTTGGTATCGGTCTTCCTGCCGTACTTGAATCTTGGTCTGCGACGCCGAGGTGAGCACTAGCGTGAATGCAATGAAGGAAGGCGAAGTATTCACCTTAATCACGTCAAAGGGATGCGTGAGGATGGTAGCGATTGCGCCCGCGGACGCAGCGGAGATGCTGTGCACGCTGGTCGACAGTACGGAGGACGTTGGTGGCAAAAGGTAGGCTGTGGTCAGCTCGACACCACGAGGGCGAGACCAGTAACGTTCACTGGCATCGAATGATATACTCACATGTTTCTCGCTTGATGCCTTCGTAGAACACTACGAAAAGGCCCGCATATGGCGCGTCGCGTAGCGCGGACGCAAGGAAGCCCCGGAAGAGTTCTCGGGGACCGCCGCGCACTATCGATACCAAGGCACCAGACAGAGACGTGTACGCGTACATGTTACTCTGTCAAATCAGCCTCCATATCAGGCCTGGGCCGGACGGCTGAGAACGAGGACGATGGCGTACCTCGTAACGGGCTTTGAGCACTGAGAAGGGGTTAAGTACGAATCCGACGCTGACGCGAGTCACGGCTCCGGCAATGAGATTACCGCCGCTAGTCAGGGAGGGTAGCACAGAGGCATGGGAATGAGCAGGTGACGAAGAACCTGAGCGAAGTTTCTGCACAGAGGCAAAGTAGGGCGACGACGCCATGAATGTCCGTATTTGAGTGAGGCCAGACATGTAAATCGCCACTCCGGGGACATTTCTACAAGGGGGATGAAGATCGGGTCAGCACATAACGTCCGGGAGAGGGGGTTGGGGAAGGGAAAACACCGCACAGGCATATACGTACCTGATGAGCGTAGCATTCGTCCCTCGCCATAACTCCAATATCCCGTTTTCCGCAATCACCTGTCTTGTGATCTTGAGCGGGCTCTTCACTGCTCTGTATGCATGAAGATCAGAACACGGCAGTTCGTCACATTGAGCGCGAAGGCACGTACTTGGATTTCAGGGTTCCATCGGTCTGTTGGACTCGTGTCTTCAAGAAGTCAACTAGTGATGATCCCGTAGGTGAGTGCATGACTCAGAGAGTATCGACTCTACTCACATGGTTGAAGAGCGACTGTTGAAGCAAATCCTGAGGCCGCGCCTGGAGAAACAACTTCAACATTGCTGACCGCAGGAAATCTGATCCGGACTGACCTGACAGCAATTGCTGCCCAACATTGCTCATATATACCAATTATTGCGGTCGATAGATCGGTCAGAGAAGTACACTCGTAACAAGCCTGTGACGCCGGTGAGGGGGGAAAGGGACCATGCCATGTTTGGCTTTGTTATGCAGCGGCCTTGGACTTCACCACAGGCTGGAAGAGCGGGTTTTCTGTGCCTTCCGACCTCGATAACACGAAGCCAGGCATCCAAGAAGCTGAAAGTCAAGAGAGGCTCACAGAATTGGAACGCCATCCGCCTTTCAATGCGCGGTTCGTTGACGGTGTCTGACCAGCTGGGACTATGCAGCCGCTTCAAACGCCGTTATCTATGTAACTTACATTGCATTCTTGCTTTTCGGACTTGGTCAGTTCAAACACCTCGGTCTCTTCACCGATTCATACTAAAAGACTCCACTAGCGGTATCCTACCGCTACTCCAAGACCAAGGGCGACTTACTGTCCTCGCTCCGCACCCAAACATGTCCATCCATCGTTCCCGCTGGTCCATCAAGCGCACTAACAACTTCGTCTTCCCACAGGGCCCTCTATCGCTCTGAACTTCGCTGCTTCGCGTGCGTTCATGACGGACTCGTAGTTGAGCGCCGGTTCGAGGTTTGTCTGGACCCAAGAGCACTGCTGCGGGTGCTGGTGTCACGACCCTGACGTTTGGCTCATTCTCGACTCCATCTTCGGCTCTTCGCTACTATGGGGTGCTTCCTGGCAGGCTTGGAGGTGGTGGAGGGCATGGGTCCCGTCGGGAAGTGCCCGGCTGAGATCCGCGAAAGCGGGAATCGTTCACGACGTGATCCGGATGATACCAGCGGACGGAACGCATGCTCGCCGAGTTCTGTCCTTTTTGTCTTTCTGTGGTGCGGGAACTGATGTCTGAACTTCCTGGACCTGATCAGCTATGGGTTCGGGTACGGTTGATTGCCGAGGATACCACGCTAGTTCGACCTCTTCACGCTGATGCCGCGAAAACAGGAATCCTGTTTACATATCCACAGGTCGGGCTACTCTTCGCTCGCGCGTGATACCCCGATGCGCTGATGCTTGTCCGCCTACCAGATTGGCGTTGTCTCCGGCTTACAGGGCGTGATCGTGTACGCTTTTGCCTCGTCCTTGCCGCTTCTCACCTTCCCGTAGCTCGGCAGGAAGATTAGGAAGCTATGTCCCCACGGCTTCGTCCTGACTGAGTCTGTTCCAAGCTGTCAGTCCCGCTCTACCTCCATTGATATTACTTCGCCGGTACTCATGTACCGATCGCATCATAGGGCAGCCCTAGTGACTGTTTCAGTAGATGTATGCCAGCAGTTTCCACAAAAGCGTCTTGCATAAAATGCGATGGCTTATCTCGACCATAAACCACAGCAAAATGTGCACCGTTGGCGCAGCCAAATGAAATGCGGCTGGCCGTGGGATATCATACCTGTACTATATACTGCAGCAACAGCTTCTAAGCGCGCTGGCAGACAAGCACTCGCTTCGTCACATATTATGGCTACCTCTACACTGCCGCCGACCCGCTGCGTCCAGATCGGGGTTGCATATATCCCACCGCTCGCGCATATACTGCAGTAAGTACCGTGTTTCCGCTGGGGACCCGCCATTCCCTTCGTCACATACTACAGCTGCACCTATGCCACCTCCTTTACTCTTGGCACCTGGCTCGCATATTTTTCACCATCTCTTGCATATACTCTTGTAAGTGCTGCATCTGCTGTGGGGAATCCTCCGTGCATTCACGGCGTTCCCTTCGTGGCATACTTCAGCTACACCTACACCGCCTCTGCACTGCGGCTCTTCAAATCCGTCATGGGGCTGGCATACCTGCGGGATTCTCTTGCATATACTCTGGCAACGGCTTTATCTGATCCCGGGATGGGCCGCGCACGCGCAGCACTCGCTTTGTTATATATCTTAGCTACCTCTACACCGCCGCCGACCCGCTGCATCCAGATCGGGGCTGCATATATCCCGCCGCTCGCGCATATACTGCAGTAAGTACCGTGTTTCCGCTGGGGACCCGCCTCGCAGCATTCCCTCCTGCGGGATTCTCTTGCATATACTCTGGCAACGGCTTTATCTGATCCCGGGCCGGACCGCGCACGCGCAGCACTCGCTCTGTTATATATTCTAGCTATTTCTACACCGCCGCTGACCCGCTGCATCCAGAT